ATGGAGACTGTCTTCCAGCTGCCTTTTCAGTGTGTGCATTTTCAGATTCAGTCTTGAACCCGAAAGGCTCAGCCTTCGCTTAGGGATTAGCAGTTCCTTTCCAAAGGCCCAAATGGGGAGAGGAGGTAGGAGAGGAGCCCTCAGCCATCCACCCACCCAGCCAGGCAAAAAATCCTGCAACCACACACACTGAAACACCAGCCCACGGGTTAAATTATTACTGCTGCCTGAGTCAATCCATTTACAGTTTGTGACACTTTGAAAGCTTGTGACTGACAATGCTCTTTCAGGGGTGTTCTCTGTGCTGTACATACTATGGAATATAACTGCTGGTTGCAAGCAGCTACATTTAGAAGAGGAGGCAAGTAAAGGTCCTTCTTCATATTTTATTTTTTCTTAAAAATAAGAAAATAATAAATGTTGTACCAAAATCTGCCAAGAGAATATTCAGACTGTATAAAGAACCCTTTGAAGTCTGGAAAGGTCCAACATTTCACTCGATGAACTTCAAGTGTTATTTTACATACTTGTCTATATACGCGCGTTACGGTAAAGTATACTTGTGTGTCATGTTTCAGTAGCTCTGATGGTTATGTCAAATTTGTAGGGGTGGAGGGAAGGAAGAAGCCAAGGCTGGCATATTGTTTTTCTCAAATAAGGCGAAACTTTAAAGATGAGGGAAGAGATGGTTTAAATGTAAACTCAGCTTGTTCAGAGTGTAAATTTTATAATTTTTATGGCAGAAATGAGTATTCTTAAAGTCTGTCTTTCTCGTTAGCTACAGATGTGGAGCAGATGAGTTCCTCCTCTCCTGTTCTTCCCGTGAGCTCCATGGGCAGTAAGTACCTCCTTTCTCTTGTCCCGCACGGCCAGGTGGAATTTCTTCATTGCTGACAACTTTGTTTTTTGATCTGAGATTGCCAGACAAATGATACTACTTCAGTGTAGGAGCTCTGAAAAGCAATGCAGTTAAATCTTTACTGAAGAAGACCATTAAGGATGTTGCCTCTCCTTACCTTTTCCACAGAAATACCATAGGTCTAGCCTGTGCTGAGACTTTTTACAGGTGTAGCTGTATCAGTTGTGTCCTTGATTCCTCCCCTCCCTTCTCCTCCAGCAAAGGCCATAAAGTAGGTTAGTGGGGCCCAACTTTTTTTTGGCAGAGATGCCAAAACTTAGCCCTGCATCCCCACTGAGTGCCACTGCGATCCCTATCCTTTGGGTTCTGCTTTCTACTCTGTTCCTGTGCTCCATGTCCAATCTGCTGCTCTGCTTTCTGCTCCCTGCACTATCAGCTACTGTGGTGTCCCCCCCTTCCCTGGTCTGCTGCATGCCATGCGCAGGCTGCTGTATCACTTGTGGCATGCATGCCGCAGGTTGGCCACCCCTGGAGTAGATGGTGAAATAAAGAACAGCATTATTTCTTTACCAGCATAATTTCCCATACTCTCAAGATATTTTTTAGCGGCTTATCTGTGCCTTCTTATGTTGGGCATTCTTGCACTGAAAATCTGAAACTGTTCAGGTGGGCTGCAGTAGTTGTGAAGTTTCAGATTTGTTCTGCACCTCTCAAAGAAAAGACTAGAAGGGGAAGCTTGGGTGTTGACAATCTGCTGCTCTGCTTTCTGCTCCCTGCACTATCAGCTACTGTGGTGTCCCCCCCCTTCCCCGGTCTGCTGCATGCCATGCGCAGGCTGCTGTATCACTTGTGGCATGCATGCCGCAGGTTGGCCACCCCTGGAGTAGATGGTGAAATAAAGAACAGCATTATTTCTTTACCAGCATAATTTCCCATACTCTCAAGATATTTTTTAGCGGCTTATCTGTGCCTTCTTATGTTGGGCATTCTTGCACTGAAAATCTGAAACTGTTCAGGTGGGCTGCAGTAGTTGTGAAGTTTCAGATTTGTTCTGCACCTCTCAAAGAAAAGACTAGAAGGGGAAGCTTGGGTGTTGAGGACCTCCTGCAAGCCCTGGGGGAGGAGGTTCTAGGAGTTCCCAGCGTTCATAGATTCATAGCTGTTAGGGTCGGAAGGGACCTCAATAGATCATCGAGTCCGACCCCCTGCATAGGCAGGAAAGAGGGCTGGACCCCAGCTAGATGCTTATCTAACTTCCTCTTGAAGACCCCCAGGGTAGGGGAGAGCACCACCTCCCTTGGGAGCCCATTCCAGACTTTGGCCACTCGAACTGTGAAGAAGTTCTTCCTAATGTCCAGTCTAAATCTGCTCTCTGCTAGCTTGTGGCCATTATTTCTTGTAACCCCTGGGGACGCCTTGGTGAGTAAAACCTCACCAATTCCCTTCTGTACCCCCGTGATGAACTTATAGGCAGCCACAAGGCCGCCTCTCAACCTTCTCTGGCGGAGGCTGAAGAGGTCCAGGTGCCCCAGTCTCTCCCCATAGGGCTTGGTCTGCAGGCCCTTAACCATATGGGTGGCCCTTCTCTGGACCCTCTCCAGGTTATCCACATCCCTCTTGAAGTGCGGAGCCCAGAACTGCACGCAGTACTCCAACTGCGGTCTGACCAGCGCCCGATAGAGGGGAAGTATCACCTCCTTGGACCTATTCGTCATGCATCTGCTGATGCA